ACATTGACTTTATATGCTCTACTACATGGAGTCAGGATTTAGGTGTTTAGTCTGATAATTTCCTTATATTATTAAAGTGATTCTTTGGTCATGTTCAGATTTCACTCTAAGATCTTTCCTACACATCAAGTATACAAGGGTGAGTTGGAAATCTCTTGCTCTAAATTCATAATGTATATTGTGTTAAAATTCCTGCTTAGTACGGAGGGAAAATTACACACCTAAAAGTAGTTATTACCATAATTATTTAACAGGAAAGAAAATGACAACTCTAGAAATAATAGTAGGCTCCCCAGGGAACCCAAGTGTCAGAACTAAGAAGTAGTAGGATAGACATAAAATGTTCAAAGCAGCTTCATCTCATAAAACTAGGTGACATACAGATGTATCTGGGAAAGAAAGTAATTACTCAAGGGCAGTTTAAAAAAGGAAAGAAGTGGTCACAATAGGGAGTTGAGTAAATGTTTCCCAAAGTGCACATTGGTCACTTAATACATGAGGGCTTGGTTTGGAGGGTAGAGACAGCATGTTAAAATGTTCAGAGTACACTCATCTATAACAAAAAAATAAAAAATACCAAAACCTCCAATACATTGTTTCAAACTACATTTCCAATCTTTTTTGATCAGGAAAGTATACATATATAATTATATATATAAGCATATATGTGTATGTGTATATACACACATATGCATACACACACCTATATATATGACTTATGAACATTATCTGTAGAAAGGGGTGTGAGATAAAGAAAAGTCTAAAAGACTGCTAGATTGGAACTTACTCTTTCTTATCCCTGTTCACTGAACTGCTAATCTGAGATATCAGAATATGGTTGTATAAAAGGCTCTTATAAGGATTTACAATTGTAAACAGTGATCCAAGGTCTCAGTCACATAGAAGCTCTTCAAAGGCCAGAGGGCAGATTGAAAATTTTCTTGATGGGATTAGTGAGTGTTTTTTTTTTTTTTTCTCTCAAGAGAGAAGTTGCCCTTCTGTCAGCCCCTTTTCTAGCCCCCTTGCCACAGAGAGATGGGTAAATCACATCTCTGTGGGAGAGCATCAGGAAAAACACTTGGGATTCTTTGAAGTAACTTCACATGTCGAGAGACATGAGTCTAGGACTGTATTGTACACAGGAGCACGTAAGTAGTCTGTAGGCCCTGAGTTTTACTCCTGCTGAGGGATTTAAGAAGGCTTCAAGCAGACTCCTCATTGCTTAGGTGGAGGAGTAGAGGAGCAGGGAACAAGGGAGTGCTAAGGGAGATGTGGGGATGCTTCTTCGAGTACCAGATCTAAGCCACACAGCAGAGTCAACATCACACCTTGGGTCCTGTCTAAGCATTCCTCGTGGCATAGGAAGGAGTCCGCAGCCGAGAGATTGGAGCTGACAGCCAGACTGTCAAGGCCTCATCTAGCATAGTGCAGGAGAGAGACTCCAAAGGGCTTCCTAAAGAGCCTAAAGAGTCTCACAAGGGCCATGCTAGCTTTAATCTTCCACCAGACCCATTGAAAGGCACCAGCTTACACATCTTGCAAGTACATTAGAGCTACCTCTTCCTTTCCCTTTCTTTCCTACTTCTTCTCAATTTTCTATCATGATTACAAATAATAGCACCAAATAGCATTATGATAAGAGAGAGAAGGGCACCTATAAAGCAAGCCTACCTTCCTGGCTTTCATTCCTTAAAACCCTGGGTAGGGAGAGATATCTTTAATTTAACTGGGAAGATTCCCCGCACTAAATAAAGTTCAAGTAACATTTGGAGATAAAGATACATAATTGTTCTTGATTATTTCCGAAGTTGAACTTGTTTAATATAACAGTTATAGAAACTACCCGTTTTGCTGGCAAACTAGAGCAGAGCATCCATTAGGAAATGCACACTTTAAATACCCTTCTCATATTGTCAAACCTCTGTATCTGACAGAAGGGGGAAATGTAGCTGTCTGAAATGTGATATAACATAAACCATGATAGCCTGTAAAATCAGCAACTTATATTGGGACTCAAGCCAAAGTTTAACCTGCAATATTATAACATAAAGATCATAATATATATATATATATATATATATATATATATATA